ACCTATTCAGCAATTTCAAACAGTTTCTACAGTGTTTATCGACATATTTTGATAAATACGATGTATCACGTGGAATTTTAAAGCTTTTACGACACTCTGTGGCTTACGAATGACAGTTTTCGGCAAAAAGAAGACATTGACATATACTGAATTATGCGAACCCCTGCCTTGATCAAACGACTTTAGGTGTGTGTAGTTTTTTTTAAACAATGGAATTTACTTTAGGAAAGTATAATACAACCGAAGTATTTTTCTCTCTCTTTTCACCCCCCCCACCCCATAAATCTACGGAAGTCTTTAACATCAAAGCTGTTTTAAAGAGAAGTTTTCGAGGTTGGCATAACTGTATTAATCTAACACAAAACATAAATTACCGACGTAAATGATGTTATAAAATTTGATATACGTTCTAGCTTCATACATTGAGATGATGAAGACTTTTGGCTCTCATTGGACTCCGTACTTTATATTTTTCCAATTCTAGCTTCAGACACTGAGATGTTGAAGACTTTTGGCACTCACTGGACTCTGTACTTTATATTTTGCTTCAGACATTGAGATGTTGAAGACTTCTGTCTTTCATTGGACTCCGTCCTTTTTTTTCTCTTAATTGAACTAAGCGTGGGGAAAGTGTTTTTTTAGACCGTTTCGGAAATTAATAGGTTTACTATTTCACTTGTTAAGAGGGCGACATCTCAGACATAAAAGATTTATTAACAAAGTCGATTCAATATCGAGATAAGATAAGTAATTAATTTACAAAATAGGTAATTTTAACACTTTGTATGGAGTACATTGTAGGTATAGAAGTCTAATTCACCCTGAATGAAAACGGCGGTTATTTCTGTCCTTCGCAAATAAATAGAACTCATATATATATATATATATATATATATATATATATATATATATATATATATATATATATATATATATATATATATATATATATATATATAATATATATATATATATATATATATATATATATATATATATATATATATCGTTTTTCGGTATTTGTACTTATTTTAGACATTTTAAGATAAAATTTTAACGTTTGTGACAATGTTTTCTAGGTGATGTAATTTTATAGCGATTTCTATAATTGCAGTCCATCAATAAATTGCCAACTTTGGACCTTTCTACAATAATAGTGTGTCTCACTGGAAATGTAATTTTAAGAGACTTTTCAGTGCAAAACTCTTAAGAGATTTGTGTCGCTTAAACAGCTGTACATTATGACTGAAACATTTGAGCCATTTGACCCTTGGCCCCCTACTATATAAAGGTTCTTTGATTTTTGATCAAATATGTTAAATGACAGTTACATAATATAAAATACTGTCAACTACCTGTATTATAAATTTTCGAATTTATGATTTAAAATAAATAACGCATTGCATCTATACACCTGTAGCACCTTGCTCACACCTGCAGCACCGGACAAAAATAATGAAATAAAATGTGGCTTTATTTACACTATGACACTGATACCTTACCATGAGCTGTCGGTAGTCAATACAAGTTATATTTTAATCAAACTTATACTTTGATATATAAAATATGAAATATTTTTTATCATGATGCACGCTGTTTATGGCGAAACGGGTCGTAGACATTTGCATAAAAATGATCTAAATCAAAGGGCAAAAAATGATGTAAATCAAAGGAAAAGAAACCACCTACCCTGCATTTTCTAAACTTTAGCGCACAACAGGAGTAGATATGTTCGCATACCCGAGTTATGGCGAGGCTTTGATGGTTCTAAAGGGCGTGATAGGGGTCGTATGATGATTATAACAACGCTTTTGAACAATTATTTGTCGGATTAAAGTTCGAATTAAGTCATGAGCATGATAGAAACTGGAAGATGAATTGTTTTCTCTTCAAGTTAGAGTTTAGATCTCTTATCCCATGTCATCTTTTGATAAAAAACGAGATCTTTAAAATGTCTGAAAAATATTTTCTTCTTTCTTGTATATTGTTATTTTTTATAAAACAACAAGAAATAAAATCGGACTGCCTTCAAACACGCCTTTAACTGGATAAAATGTGATTATTATGAAGCAATTTCCTGTAAGCATTGTAAATATTTATATAACCCAGTCACCCGGATTAAATACATTCACTGCGGGACGGTCGACGTTTTCAAAATGGCTACCGATTATTTACACAGCAAACGAGAGGAACAGTTGTTCGGTTCTGTTAACATCTGGTTATTTTTATATATTTATTTTATTTTTCGTCATAAAATATAGAGCTTAAGCTTTAAAATTTGTTGAATTAAATCTCCTTGGTTAACAAAAATTGCGTCATAGTTATAAATAGGAACAAATGCGTATGGTTAACAATTTTACTATTGTTGTTGTTATTGTATATCTAGTAGAGAATGGCGTCAGATTGTTTTTGGCAGAAGTCGCAATATGTGTGTAAGAATTAAAAATGCAATTCAATGACTATATGTAGGAAAAGATAGATCTGATAAACTATTCAAATAATAATTGATATAATTCCTTCACAAAACACCATACATTTTTTCATATAAAAAGGGAAAATAATTAAGTTCTTTTCGGGTCATTTGAGCTGGATCATTTCTTTTTCTGATAAAAGTTTAATAATGCATTAAAGTTTTACTTTCCAAATCAAGTCTGCATCTGGATGATCTAGTATTGAATTTCAGGGAATTAAAAGCAATTTGTAATTTTATCCAATTTAACGGGGACAATTTTAATATGTATTAAATTTCTATATCATTGTAGATTTAAAAAAAAAAGTAAAACAGGTCTTTTATCGATCGTTTCATTTCTGGTATAAAAGAATGGTATTTTCTGCACACAAAGGGGTATTATTTAATGTATTAAATTATTAATGAAGTCAAAATAACATTGTATAGCCCCAAAGATTAAAATGACTTACGTAAAGCCATGTTAAAATCTGATTTTTTAATGATAAAAAATCAAACAAAGATGACATATATACCCCCCATAAGAAATTCACTTTAACTTAAATCCCACGTCAGAAAAAAAACCCAAAAGACTTGAAATTATACAAAACTTTGAGTTACTGTTTTTTTACATATTTTTAATTCCCTTAATCCATGATAATTATTCAACTTCAAGTCTTAGCGCGCACATTTTAAACGGTCGTGAATAAAAATTGTTAATCTATTAAATCTTTATAAGCAGCTTATGTTGGATTATCGTGATAGGATTTTTTATAAATCTGAAGTTGACCTACTAAACTTTTAATGTTGTGACGTCATTTTGGTGTAAAATGACATCATCTAAAATATATTGTAAGATGTGAGCGTTTGTATTAAAAATAATCATGTTTGCTCTATGTGCTAGATCTAAGGAGACATTTTATAAGATCAGTTATGCCACCTTATGGTTGTGGCCCTATACAAAGCCTTCAAAATAGCTCTATATAAGTATCATAAGTAATAAAAAAAACAGTAACTTAAAGAAATTAGATAGATAAAGCTCTACCATTTCTTCTCCTTTACGTTACAAACGCTATATTATTATATATAGTTGAGGCTAATGCTATTGCATTATATGTAAGGTGTAATTGGACGATCACTTGAAATTACAAAAAAAAGTTGAATAAAAATTTAAACAAAAATATTAGAATCTAGATCTAACTGAAAAGACATTTATATAAAACAGTAATAGATCTAATGCGAAACAAGAAAAGTTATGAATGACAAGCAGAGTAATTTCCCTTTGTTTACAATCAATTCATAATACAGAGAGTGGCTTTAAAAACTGGATTATCCGAACTTTCTGCATTGCTGCGTCGTTTAGCACCGGTTTATTTTACGACATTAAATGGATGTCGCAATAAGGCATGTTAAAGTGTAAATAATTTACGAACAAATATTAGCGATATCGTTTCAATCATGTGTGTTTACATTGTTTTTATAATAAAGTGTCAATTTCAGCGGGTAGCCCATCTAATGAACTTCCTCACAGACAGTCTGGCGTGTTTTCTGATCTCTCTTAATATTTTTCTTGTGAAATCGTCTATTATACTGCAATCTATTTCCAAAAACAGTGTATACCTCGGAAGTACGCAAAGCGAGGTATTGACATTGTGTCAGGCGTTTGTAACGCTATATAACTTTCACGACTAGGTGGAAATATTGATATCAGATGGTTTTAAAAAATAATAAATTCAATTAGCTTTTGCTGGAGTGGATTATAAATAAAGTGGTGTTTTTTTAAATGTCCTCAGTTATAAATCTTTTAGGCTAGTTATAAATCTTTTAGGCTGTTAATCAGCATATGACATATTCAACATATAGTTTTTAGATTAATTTCATTTGCATCGTTCACTCATTTGTTAAAAAATATACCACGGATAATTTGCAGTTATACAGTTGTGCTTTAAATAATCACTTTTTCTTTATCTTCAAATTTGAAGTGTGTCACAAGTAGAAAAAAATCACTCTTTTATAATTGTTGAAAAAAAAAAACAAACACTTTAAACAAGCTTTCACTTAAAGCTATGTTCAAATTTGCAAAATCATGTTCGACGACTTAGTAATTGTGTTTTCCACGCATGCAGGATTACGCAATTTTGTAAAGCTTTCACTGCTGCCCTTCAGTAAAATTAAAAAAAAAAACCAAACACAAACCATGAGTTCGTCTCGAAATACGTTTATTTGTTCAAACGCTAGACGCTAAAATACTCATGCAGTTATTGTCCAATAAGTTACGTTATTTAGCATTCTAAAGGCAAGCTGATATGGCTTTTATAATTTAATCTTTTCATTGGATAATATTTGTTTTCAGGCGATATCATGCAGATGTATTATAATGTATATAATTTTATTCATAATTTCAGTAACTTGTCAATGAGCTACGAAAACGTCATTCTATTTTAATTAAGGCTGAACAATCAAAGAATTCATTTTGAGTTAAGTTTTGTTTACATCTGAAAATTTTGTAGTACCATTGCATAATATTTAAAACGCACTTCTTTTTTTATTTCAGCATTCCACAGTATGTGTATCCATCCGCGTACATGACGGCAGCAACAGCACCTAGTATGTTAACCACGGCCGCACTCCAGCAGTCACCACTCTCCCCGACCCCCGGGCAATATCTTGACTACACCGCTGCTTATGGTTCACAACTCGCAACGGCAGCCGGGCTCGAAGCCGCAACATATCCATATGTTAACGTATCAACTACCGGACTGGTAGCCGCAACGAATCCCTACACGTATGCCGTACCGCAGCAAATAGCCGCCGCTTCCGGTGCAGCATTTTACCAACCCCCACAGCTCCAAGAGAGGATGCAATGACATCTACCCGGTTTTAGTGGCGTAGATTTAGCACAGTCGCTTTTATATAAAGAAAACACAACGTTGAACTAAAAGTACATTTTTTGAAAGTGCCCATAGTTTAAATTATAGTTGGGGTAAAAGAATCGATTATTTGGACACTATAAAAATGTTTATATTTCAGGCACGACTATAATATTGTGATAAAGAATTAGATGCAAACATACCCCTATGCAATTTTTCTAGTTGATAATATTATTTAAATTATATGAATTAATAATTCTTTGTGAAAGTTACTGAATTCAGTGTAACAATCAGACGAATATAATGTTGTAAAATTTGTTTTAATAAGTTATAAGTTATTTATGATGGTAACGAATGTAGCCGAAGTATTCGAATACATGTTGCATTGTGTGAGTGGGAAGGAAATGAATGTAAAAAAAGAACTATTTTTGTTTTAATGCGAGGGGGGAAATGCGTCTCATTTTGAATCGGTTTCTCATGTACATTTTACTTTTATTGTTTTTTATATACATGTATATGTTTAAATACAGATACGAAAATACCTGTATGAGAACACCATTTTTAAAATGATCATCATACTTATCTTGTCATCAAAAACATGATCCGTCCAAGAATGTTTACATTATAATATTTCCTTGCCCAATCATTTTAGTACATTTTTTTATCATACTATGGTTTATTTTTTATCCTTTTTATTTGATCTTTTGCATCTCAGAGCCAATACACAGGGCGTGTTTTGTCAGTATGGCCGTTTTTTGTACTCTACATGTATTTTGAAAAACAAACAAGACGGTTTTTGCCGAGCGCATGTGTTTTATGTTGGTTGTGACCCGTTATAGGGTGGGGTGGGTGGGGGTAAGGTTTTTTTTTATTATTGCATGACCGAATGATGACGTTAAAGTAGTTCTTACAGCAGAAATAATTACAAAAAGTAGTTCCAATCTGTACGGGGGAATTTTTTTCACAAGTAGTTACGGCGGAATGATATGATATGACCTGATCATAATGTTAAATGTGAGGCGTATGAATGAATTGTGAATGAGTTATTCTTAAAGAAGATATTTATAAAAATTGTTGTGTATATAATGTTATATAAATATTAATGTAATTTATGTAAGTTATTGAGTTAATAATTATTTCATGTATTTATATTATTTAATTCCCAACGAAATCATGTTAACAGATCTTGTCATTTGTTTGCTACATATTTCTCTTGTAAAAAAGTGCTAGGTCAGAATTGCTATATAGCCGAAATGTAGTGCACTTCTTTTTTTAAAATAACTGATTAACCGAAATTTCTTTTAACGAAAACAAATCTTACTAAAATACTAGTATTAAATTTTAAACCGTTTCAATCAGTATTTACCTTTGTCTGACCTATATTACAGGTCATCTGGTGACCTTTGATACGAAAATAGGTCAGTAAAGGGCATCGCCGGATAGTATTATTTTAGGCATCTAACACCTTGTATTTTGTATAGCTCTAGATTTATTTATACATTCTTTAGTTTCATTGCACCTTCATTATAGTAGTTGTCATTTTTCAAGTGTTATCGGCTAAAGACAACTTAACAACAACAACAACAACAACAACAAAAACAACAATAAAATTAACGCCAGCTCCTTCAGAAAAAAAAAGTTTCATAATTGTAACAAAAAAAGTCTAATAACGATTTTTAAATGAATTTTAATAAAGGAATTTTGGTGCCCTCTTTATATGACTCAAGGCGTTAAACATTTTTTACCAGCTTGCAAACAAAAGTAGGGAGAAAAGGGGGATATCGGGTTCTCGTTTATGTCAAATTTTTAGAAGAAAAAAAAGTGTTGTCTTTAGCCATAACTGATCGAATCTCACGTTCGTCTTAATTTATATATGTAGGCAAAGGTATGGTGTAAGGGTATAAACTATTACGTCACATAACTTCAAAGAAATTTAGTTTTAATCACACCATGTATATCAGTGGGTTTGTTTAACTCGTAAAACGAGTTCTCCATTTTATTTTTTAATTCTTTAGAGTCGTCACGTGATATATTGTAGTCATGTGACCGGAAATGAGTTAGTCATTTTTTTCATTTTTTGATTTCATCCGCCATTGTTACCTTAAAGGATTCATCGCATTCAGAAATAAGGTGTTGTTTTTTTACAGATGAAAAAATAATTAACAACAGTTTACAAATATATTTTTAAAGTAGTGCGCTATACCGGTATGGAACATTGGTGTAATAATCTCCTTGTCAACCGTTGACCGTTACATTTTATTTTATTTTTTTGCCAATAGAAGATCAATATTCAATTATTGTTGTTACAAACGTCATGTATATTTATTTAAAACAAACTGATTAATAATTCAATGAACGGAAAACTGTAAGAATTGTTGTATATTTAATCAGATTTTAAACAAACACAGCAAACCTTTAGTTGTGTCATTTATTTTTTTAAATCAATTTAGTTCAATGCAAATCAAATGGCAAGCTATTATCATAAAGTGTATTTCTATTTGCAACCGATTCCAAAAGGTTTACATTTACTTAAACAAACGTTCAAGAACACTTCCGGTGGTTGAAATCTGTCTAAAAACCATTTACTTCGATTTTTGAAAAGTCAACAATTCAACTTTAAACAAATAATATTTTCTTTGTTACAAGTTACAATTGAAATTGTATACATGTACCTTTTAGCAAAAACGTAAAACAAATCTTCAAGTTTCGGTTATTTCCGTTAATCGATCGTCATATGCCGAAAATATTACATGACGTAATCATTTATATCTAACGAATCTTATATTTTTGTTAATCAAGGTTTGCATATGTTTATTTGTATGAAAATACATTAAAGTGTAACGTTCAATTCTAGCATGGCAATTATTTCAACCAGTAATTAATTACTTATCTGACATGTTTTTCTAAGTGAAGAATTATGACACCTAATTTTTTTGGATAAAATGTAAATGCTTGGTATTGTAATGACGTCATATTCGTTGTCACACCATTTAAAACGTCATAAAACGCACGTGAACGAAAAAATATGATGTCATAGAAATGCACGTGAGCAAAAACTGTCCATATAATGGCCATTTTTGTGATCGTTAAGGATTTCATGATTTTGTTGGAACATTCTCAATTGCTCAACTGTTTTGAATTAGTATTTTTTTATGTTTGATACATTGTTGAAAAGCATTGTATGCGTGGATTAATTGGTCGATATTTCATAAAAGATAATAAATTGTTTTATTTTTGTTAAAAGAGGTCTGAATATGGTTTATTACAACAGTTTATTGATTCTAGATTATAAAAAACTGGTAACAAGTTGTAAGGGGGAGAATAGCATGAATCTGTAGGAAAATATGGACACATAAAAATGACTTTGTTGTTAAAAATGTATATAGAAAAATTATCATTATATCATTGTGTAGTATACGTTACATGTATTACGTAGTTTATATGTACGTTACGTAAATTATGTTAATTAAATGTTTATTATTATGATACGAACAACTCAGATGTATATATTTAAATATTAGTAACATTAATTATCATTACTCTACTGTTCCATGAAAAAAAATCAAAATGCCATGCTCATATTAGCGGTCTATATCGATACTATATTAGAGAACCATAGCTGTGCCTCTATTCCTGTTTTCTATTTATAAAAGAAAATAAAAGTTAACTAGTCATTATAAAGCTAGAAGAACACAAATTTGAAGCACATCACGTGAACAAGACATGTCAAGATGGAATAGCCAATCAGATAAATGCTTTGTTAAAGAATCGGAACTCATGTTCAGTGACATGTATGCTTGCAAGTTCTCTTTTGTAATAAGACCATTGTTCACAAGAAAACAATCAATTTTGCTTGCATTCGTTAACTTCTAGATAAGAAATTATTTGACAAATCAAAATATATAGAAACCAAATCCATTTTATTCAAAAGACTTTAGCTTTCGTTAGTGTTCGTCACTTTCCGTGTTTTTCCACCCTTATCCATTCTTTCGTTCTTTAACAAACTTTTGGGATAACATTTGTGACTTCCGTTATACGGATACTATAAACGTTATCCTAGCTAAATATTTTGACTGGTAGAACTTCTTTTTCTCTACGACTCTTTCTATACCTATATTTATCATACCTGTTCAACGGAATATGCCGAACATATACGATAATATGTTACGTCATCAATATGTTACGTCATCAATATTTTCATGCGATTCTTCGGAATCATATATTATGCATAATCAGCAGTTTAAGATCATTGTTTACCCATGTTAAATCATGAACAAGAATAAATCTAAATCTTAACTACTCTATGTTTGTTATTTCTTCTTAACACAAACACTACAGTGTTTTAGTAAAGGGTATACAGAAATTTGTGGCTTTCTGGATTAACAATAATTGCCGGCGGACACTTTGTTATAACATGGCCCCCTCTAAGAATTGAGAAAAAATTGCGGTATCATATAAAATGAAGTACTGTTTTCTTTCCTTGAAGTACTGTTTAAATATTGTCTACATTCTACAAACAATCGTTTTTGTTTTTTGTTTGATTTAGTGACAAAATTACAAAACATGGTTTTAATTGTGCATGTGTTTGTATTAAGGTGCAAAAACGTCTAAAATCATATAATAATGTTTTCTTAGTGAACACGGGGTCAGTTGTATAATTTCTAAATTGATAAAACAAGTGCACACGAAAATGCAATTTTATCAATTTCGGATAGGAAACCAGAAAAAGAGGCAGGAAACATATTCGAACTTTGCGACATTTAAAAATAATACAGACATGGTGCTGTGAAGGTTTCGAAAAAAATAGTATGCAATTCTTTAAATTTGAAATCTTTTTGTTTTCGGCCACTCAGAACCAAAATATTGCTAATCTTAAGGACCACTAAGATGATGGTTCCAAATTTGACAATTGATCATTTCCGTCTTATTTATTAATTAAGTATTCCTTGGCGTAATTAATGGCATATTGCGGTGATAAAACCGAAAACAATATTTTAGTAATAAACTTGGTGGAAAAGAATTATTCTAAAATTAAGGAAAAATGGATTTTCCAAGACACCAACAACCATTTGCTATTATTAGCTCTGTCTTAAATTAACTGTTACTTTGACGTCTGTTCCCCATGCAATAAAACCCCTGTACTTCTCACGGGCAATTAAATATTCTGTACAGTTTGATCATTGTATGTCAAATCGTTCTCAAACTGTTTACAGTCCGAAAGCCAATGTGACCTTGACCCAAAGGTCAAGGACCGTATGTCAAGGAATGTATTGTAACCAAGGACTATAAAAATCTACTGCAGTCAATCATCTTATTATACTTGGTACTTATCGTTCTGTTTGAAAGTCACTGTCCGTTTGACCTGTATGGTATGAAAGCTTTCAATATAGCCATCTCGCGGGAATAAATTGGTCCTTCAACAGAAGTACAACCGACTGACCGTCATGAATAATACATTGTATCCCTGTCTTTTTTCAAACGTTATTAATATAGCATTTACGTAAGGAAATTCAACTTTAAAACTATAGCATTTCACTGGCCCAAAGTATCTTTGAATTGAATTCGGTCATGTTATTGGCGTCCGCGCCGAAGCGCGACGCCCCTTTTTTTGAAAGGGCAATTGAAAATTCTCGGGCCTTTTCGGCGGTCATAATAGCCGATCTTTCCGATTGGTATGAGGGTGTTTGATTATCAAAAATGAAATGTCGCGATATGTACAATGAATAGCGAACTGGAGAATTTCGCAATGCAAACATATTCAAATAAATTATCTTATCCGTCAATTAATCTTCGGTTTTTTATTAGTACACAGTGGGTTATTATGTATTGATGTACCTATAAATAGAATAATGACTTTAACATTGTGAAAGTCCGAAAATCTATTTATAGAAGTAGTTTTAGTTAAACGAAACGGTCATTCGTGTCACGCTTTGGTAATAAATAACGAACTGGAGAATTTTGCAGGAAATTAAATTCAAACATAGTATGTCTTTCGTCCGGCCATCCATAAATATTATACAATAAATTATTCTGGTAAAAATTTATTAACCATTGAAAAGTTTATAAGAATATCTGGTCATCAGATGTCTACTAGTTATCTTCACTTGCTGCATTTCTCGCTTGGACGCCCTTTGATGCTTTGCATCAATTCTTTTCTTGTCTGAACTTTAGAATCTACATTGTATTTCAAGAGTAATGCCCATGCGTGTTGTTATGATCCTGGATGTCCTGTGCGAGTGTTACGCGAGTCTGTTATAATGCCTCTGTGTTCGTTTATGTATGTTCTGTTAAATACAATTTATTGGAACCTAGTGTTCTAGGCCTAGTTTAAGCGAGCACTATATATTCTACAGTAATGCGGTTACATTAGAGGACGCAATTCTGCTTAGGTCAAAGCGCGAGACTTGTAATGTCGTCATTGTGGGTTCGATTCCCTGGCTGGCCAACTAAAATTACTAATTAGTCTTTCATCGAGGTCCCGCGTATGAGTGCTGAAACACCTGGCACGTTAAAGAGAAACTTCTGGACTAGGGGCTTCTTTCTGTATCTGTATCTTGCACTATCCTACAAAATATAAAATGGAAGGACTCGCCCATATGGGCAACCGGTGGCGAGTATAAATAAACTCAAATACACACAATACATTAAAGGCATAATTCTAGATTCTCGATCATTGTCCCTTGATAATATACATGTATATACTATCATCAACAAATAAAGTGGCGATATGGATGAGTGGTTAACGCGTCGGACTAGTAATCTAATGATCGCTAGCCGCATGGGTTCAAAGCCCGTCAGTGGCAAGAAGCTGTTTTCTTGAGCAAGAAACTTTACAAACATTGCTCAGAAGTGGTTGGTGTCAGGAACGGATTCGATAGTTAAGTGTGTCAATAAGCTTATATAAGGTCCTGACACAATCGGACTTACAGAAATTCGTATAAACCAATCATCAACACTGTCCAAGTCAGGTGAGGCTCGAACTATAATTTGTAAGTCATCTCCTTTTCTTAAGAAATTTTGAATTTGTTGTGACGCCGTCTAAATTGTCTACTTTAACATGCCTGTCTGTTGGTGCGTATAACCAGAAATAAGGTCTTTGAGAAAACAAAGATAAAGAACTTATTTAAACGTTATCAAAATACAATGTACACAAAAAATACACTTCAAATATGACTTATCAAAAAAGGATGACGTGAACTATTTTTCTAGACTAAAACAGAGTGGCCCAGGGTGACACCTAGTGTGGTTATATATTTAATGCAAAATGAAAGGCTTATTTTAAAGTTAATATACTAGTATCAAGGAACTACTTAGTAAGCGGAGAAACCGGAATTGCATACTGTCAGTTCGTTAACTTCCGGCGCACCGATCCTAGGTAAGGGTTTCATTCTGCGTGCTTACATATCTTTAATATTTGTAAGATAAATGTTAAAGTAATGTTTCAATGGATTATAATCGGCACTTCACAGAACATAATTACTATTAAATGACTTCTTTTATAGAACATTTGTATCCAAGTTTTAAATAAACCAAGGCAGCTCTTCAGATTCAGTTTCTATGGCAAATGTATGTTTCATAATTCTGAATAACTAATGCTGTTTATTGCCACCGAACAAAACACGCACACACAGATAAAAAATAAATAAATAACTATAAAAGAAAAACTATGTAGCATTATCATTGCTTACAACATGTTGAGAACTTGAGACAGTCTTCATACTTTCTGTAACTAGTATTTAGTATTTGGAGGTCTAATGATACAAAATATGTATCTACACATATTTAGATGTATGATGTGCTGGTTAGAATTCAATGACATCGTTTAAAGATATACTATGCTCATCCTTGAGTAAAGATTTTTTTCGCCGAATTTTATTGAAATCTATGACATTCTTACTGAATATGTCTAATTTGAATAATAGAATGAAGAAACTATATATGGAAGCCGCGTTCCATGTTACGGGCCAAGTAAAGCTGGTCATTTCTGAAAAGAAAATGCCAGTTTTTTAGTGATACAAAATATGCATACTGTGTTCACCTATAGTGGGTAGAATTTCAAACATGTGAAGTTCAAACATGTTTATTTTATATTTACAAAGAGACTGTGTAGCAATTATCAATATTTTCTTGTATCAAATTTGAGCGTTGTATATCTCTATACACCGAAAATCGGACCTGGAAAATTGTGAAAACCGGTTTGCGATAAAACAAAACAAGGAATATTATCAATAAATAATTAATCATCGTTTTCTTTCAGACCAACTGCCCTAAAAGTATCAAGTGCAAGTCAAACTATTCACTCTGATAAAACAAAATGTACGATTAATTTATTATGCAAAAATGCAGGACTTTTCCAGATAAGTGTTTTGATTAAGTGTATTTTAAATTACACGTTTCTATTTGGGAGGAAATGAGACCAATAGGTAAAATTAGTGAAAAATCATATCTACGATAAAAGTCATAGAACCAAGTCTCGTACATTCACACAGCACTGATAATTTTAACAACGCGCCAAAACTTGATTTATTTGGCATCTAGCTTACAACAAAAAATAACGACTGCGGGGACACTTGATAAGATTTAATCTAGCCCCTTTTCTCTATATAAGGAACATACACACGTGCTTTATTCCGTAAATCACTTCATGACAGTCTTATCGACGGATTCTAGATAAGATGTCGGCCATATGTAATGCGCTGCACTCGATTTTCATTCTATTACTTATCGGTAAAGTTCGTTTCATGTAATCGAGTTAAACCGGGCAACGGCAAAGTCTAAAGTTTGTTTAAATTAATTCGGAAAGTAAATAAACCAAACTAGATTTAGTTATAGCTTGCAAACATCTTAATAAAAGCTAAGGTCTAACAATTCAGAATGATTTTAGAATGTTTCTGTCAAATACTAATCAATTTTTGATATAACAACAAAAACGACACGTCTTTTTTAATAGCACGTAGTTGATTAGTATATAACATATAAATGCAGTTTTTGCATGTGGATAATTCTAAAACCACCGTGACAAAATCGACCTACTGGAAGTGAAGGCTAAAGGTTATTTATTTGATTAAGCTTCGTTTGTATTTCATTTACTTTTTAAACGACAATTGAACAAAAATGACAATCGAGGGGGTAAATTTTGAAAGCCAATACAAACCTATTTGTCAAAATAATACAAAGCATGTCGTAATTTCTATATACACTATAGATATATGGATGAATAAAGCAGCGGTAACATAAAAATTGAATTCATTTAAATATAATGACGTTCAATACATATAAAAACGTTTCATTTTAAATTG